GAACTCACAACCCTGAGACCAAGAGTCACATGCTCCATCAATTGAGCCAGACAGGCACCCCTATATTTGAAATTTTAAAACTTTTCTACAGTGTAGACAGTGGACTGAAGAGAAGCAAGCATAAATGAGGGGTCCAGCTGGGACCTACTGTAGTAGTCTAGGCAAGAGATTATGCAGGCAGTCCAGATTGTGAGGTGGATATGTTTCCAATATAACTTTGAGATAGATCTGGCAAGAGTTGCTGATGAAATTGGTTTAAGAACAAAAGAGAATGATACATCAAGAATGATTCTTAAGGTTTTTTACTTGAGTAACTGATTAGAAGGTGATATCGCTTCTAAGGGAGAGAATACTGGATGAAGAGGTTTGGGAGTGGGGCTGAAATATTCAAGAGTTTGGTATTGGACATTTTCAGAAGAGAAATTGAGTGAGGGCTTGAATATATGGATCTGGAGCTCAAAGGAAAGCCAGTGATAGAGACCATTAAATAACTGGTTTGTAAAAAGATGACACATCAGATCCCACAGTTAAGTAAGCTTTTGAATACAAGGTAAATGTTGAGGGAATCATGGTTTTTCAGCTCAGGAAATCATTAAGTACAAAATTAGAATCACAGTGATTTAATAGGTAAGTCAATTTGTATCCCTCATCTCACCATACTGTGACTTATCCAAATAAAATATTTCAGTTCTCAAAAATAGATATCCTTAGAGTAATAGAATATATAGCAATTAAGCTGCTTTGCTTCATGCTATTTTGCTGACATTACCAACCCCTATATTCATCTTTAGTTTGTAGACGATCTGTAAAAATACATTTGAACAGCTCAATATAGGCTGGCAATTTTACCTTTCTGAGGGTCCTGCTTTCTAGCTTCAGAATGAAAGGGATTTCATATTTGGGGCAAAACATATTGGAAAATTAGCATGACAGAGTAATATTACTTGTTTATTTTATTTTATATCCCACTAGATGTAAATTTCATGAAGTCAGGGGTTTTTGTCTGTTTTACTCATTGCTGTAATTCCAGCATCTAATTCAGTGCCTTGCACATAGTAGGTATTTAATAAATATTTAAGGAAAATTGAGTGAAATAATAAGTTGTGTCTTCACATTGTATCTATTTGTTAGAAAATTTGAGTCCATAGAAAGTTAGATATACTCATATTGAAAAAGATATATATATATATATATATATATATGCGCACACATATACACATATCAATAGAGATACCTTAATTTATCATGTTTTTAACCACCCATTCATAGCTTCTCACTGTTAGAGATTCTGAAGTTTCCTGTGTTTACTCTGGGAAATCTATTAATTTTCATTTCCACCGGTAGTATTAAGAGTCTCATAGATCTATTTCACTTCTTTTTCTTTTTTTTTAAATATTTAATTTATTTATTTGACAGAGATCACAAGTCAGCAGAGAGGCAGGCAGAGAAAGAGAGATAGGGGAAGCAGGTTCCCTGCTGAGCAGAGATCCTTGGATGCAGGGCTCCATCCCAGGACCCTGAGATCATGACCTGAGCTAAAGGCAAAGGCTTAACCCACTGAGCCACCCAGGTGCCCCTAAGATTTTATTTGTTTATTTGACAGACAGATCTCAAGTAGGCAGAGAGGCAGGCAGAGAGAGAGAGAGAGAGATGGGGAAGTAGGCTCCCTACTGAGCAGAGAGCCTGATGTGGGGCTTGATCCCAGGACCGTGGGCTCAATCCCAGGACCCTGGGATCATGACCTGAGCTGGAGACAGAGGCTTTAACCCACTAAGCCACCCAGGCACCCCTATTTCACTTCTGATAGTACTCAAAACTTTGTTTTTGTATCAAGGCAAATGGCAGAGTGATTTACTGAACAATAATACATTACACATCTCAGAGGAGTATCTTACACAAAATATTCATCAGAGGACAATCACAAGAGAATTGTTCAATACATCCAGAAAGTCCATAAAAGAAATTAAGAAAACATGTAAAATATTGCTAAATATTATGGCAAAATGCAGCAAAACAAAACAAAATCCAACCTAGTAAAATACAATTTTAAAAAATTTTCATGGAACCTTAGCAAAGTAACAAACATGTGTTAAGCATCTTCAATATATAAGACATATGATAGTGTTGGCAGATATAAAGATGAAGACTTAGTCCTTGTATTCATAGTACTTGCCATGTGCAAGGGGAGTCAGAACTAAGTTCAGTTCAGCAAACACTTATTGGCATTCCTACCAAGCAACAGGTTCATGTTAGATGCAGGGGGTAAAAAGATGGGTAAGGCCCAGACCCTGTCATAGAGAGACTTATAATTTAGGGCATTATATATCTGGGTGTATCCTTTTGTATGTGTGGAGGTTTGTGTATTGTATAGAAACCAACATAAATGCAAAAAATTTTACTGCCCTTTGGGAGGCTGTAACAGGGTGTTAACACTACATAGGGAAATTCAACACGATATAGGGAGGAGATAAAAGGAGGAGGTGGTAGAACCTGAGCTGAATATTAAGGATATGTTAACTGGAGAATGGGAATATCATTCCATGCTCAAGGAAAAACAGTGTGACTAGGAAACCACAAACAGTTCAGAGGGCAGATGGTGGAAGGGAAGGTCCACTACCAGCACTTACTCTTTTGAAATTATTTCTCTCTTGAATTATTTTGAAACTCTTGTAAAATACCTAAAATAAGTACAATGAGCCCTAAAGTCCCTCATTAATTTTCAAACACAATCACTTCAGTATAAGGCCATTTTACCTTGATCATTTCTGCAGCAGGTTATCAGAAGAATCTTGTATGGACTCCTTGTACACGTATAAAAAACCAGTTTCAGAACGAATACATGCCTATCAAGCAACTACTATGCTTTCATATCTTTTTTCCCCTCCCGTAAAGCGAAGCTGATTTTGTAAAAATATACTGCCGGGTGGCTGCTTGGACTAACTAAAATTCAGACGCAACTTAGGTTTCATTGTGGCGAAGCTAAGGCGAGAGGTTTTTCGTGGGTTTTCGTTGGGGAGACATGGAGACGAAAAAGATAGGGGATATAGTTTGAAAGAATTGGTGCGAAAATATGCCTGGGGGGGGGGCGGCGCAAAACGAAAACACACACACACACACACACACACACACACGGGGAAACAAGTTTCCAGGCTGGAATGAAAATTTCCTTTGTTCACAGACCAAGCCCCTTTCAATTTCAGTCCGCCCTTCATCTATCCCAGCAATTCTTGCTTCATCACTGCCAACGGGCACCCAGGTTTTCCCATTCATCCTAGCTAGCAGAGCAAACATTTCTATCTCATTACTACCCCAAACCTCCAGGCTAAACGCGCTACTGCACTTAGGCTGTAAAATAAACTGAACTTTTAACATTTGCGTAAACATTCTAAATAAAATGCTGTAGCCGCCTACCTGGACCGGCCACCCAAGCACTACAATATCCAGAATACACTGTTTTCCCTTCCGCCTTCTACCAGGGCGATGCCTGACTAGATTTCATTTCCACAAGCAAAAGTCACATGACACATTTCCTTTCAAGATGGCGGACAACCTCCCTTCGGAGTTTGATGTGATCGTGATAGGGACGGGTATGTGTGGCCCTGGGACTTCCCGAACAAAGTGTAGGAAATCTGTCTCGTTCCTACCTTCTCTGTCAGTGTTGACGTTTAGCGAGAAATGCTGGGGATTGAGGATGGGAGGGAGGATGGGAAGGAAGTGAGGTAGTGTGGAGTCAGCGCGGGACTTGGCGGCTCCAGGGAGGGGCTTGGACCCCCGATACTTAGCGCCGTTTGAGTAGGGGTCGATCTGGTCGATGCCGATTGCTGAGGTTGGTTGCTGCGGGTGATTCTGTAATTTCCTTAGAGCGAGGTGGGTTTGTAGTGTGGTGAGAACGCAGGGTCGGGATTTTATCAAAGAGACGTTTTTGGTATGACATGATTCCCTCCTTGTTGATTTCAAGGTGATATTCCCCATCATGTTGTCTCGCCCTTAGGAATTTTTCATATATTTATGTAGTCTTAGGGTGTAGTGCAGCTCGGATACAGCTCAGTCCTCAGGTTTTCCAGGAAGATGCTCATTGTTGCTCGTGTATTAATTTACACGGATTCTTTTTCTATTGTGTTGACAAGCCTAGGGAATTGTATTTTGTTGAGGTAGCCATTCCTGCTTTATGATGCTGGAAGATAGCGTTTTGTTCTGTATCACCCACCTATCTCCTCACGACTAAATGAGCTGAGAAGCTTCTGTGAATTTCCCTTCAGGTGTGTGACCTTATCTTCCCCTCGTTTACCCATCATTTATTCTCCATGTTTTGGGTGGAGCCAGAAAAACCCCTGCAATTTCTAGTTGGCAAATTCAGCGTACAACCCGTGGCAGAAGATATTTGGCAGCAGTTGGTATTTTGTTTTTCTTAATAGTGTAAAGGGCGGATTTTAGATGGCATGAAGTAGGGTGTTGAGTGGGGTTTTCTCCTGTTTGCAGAATGTGGTAGGTTGGAGAAGCTCTGGTGGATAAGAACCTGTCGATTGTGTTAATGAATAGAGTTTTGTCTTCTCAAACAGTAGGGGCAGCCATGTTTCTAGGGCCGGAGTAAAAATAATAGCTACCTGGTTTTGAATGCTTATTATTTTCTAATTGAGGTGCTAAGCACTTTAGAAGCTGTTTGTACAACAACCTCAGAATAGGTATTCTCTACACTTTACAAAAGAGGAAAAGGGGGTTTAGAAAGTTTGCCCTGTGCCCAAGATAATACAGCTGGTAAATTTCCAAAGGCCCATTCCATCCCAGAAGGAGAATCTGTGCTTCAGACCTTCAGAGTTAACCCATATTGATAGAAATAATTGAGAACAGTTGTTTCTGGACCTTGCTTGGCCTTTAAATAGCTGTTTGAATTGCTAGGGCACTTAATCTCTTTGAGCCTCAGTCGTCTTGTTTTTAAATACAGAAAGGGTAAACTAGATATTCTTTCAGGTATTATCTAACCAAAAATTCTCTTATTCTAGTTGCACCTGGGTAAGTGGTCTGAGGACAGTAAAGGCATGTGTATTCCCATTATGAAAACTGCATGGCTTCAGGTAACTTGGCTGTAGTTGCTGTGAACAGATGTTGGATGAGAGCTGGAAGGAGCCAATTGACTATTCATTTGTTCTCTCCAGTCTATCCTAAAATCGAGAACAACATCCATTTTTGAATAGCTGTTATACCATACTTGGATTCTATATTATTGCCTTTCTTTTTTGTTACCTAGGAACTTGGGGTGTTTTAAAAAATTTTTTTGAACCATTATAAGATTTTTTCTTATCTGGATTCAAATTTTAATTGATAAGAGTGTTAATTCCTATTATTAAGTGCCATTAATTCTTAAATAGTTGCTTTCTGGTTCAGTTCATAATATGGACTATATTCATTTTGTTAGAGTCTGTTATGGTAGAGGTAGGAAGATACTGTGAGTGATACAGAAAATTGCATTAGGCGGCATCTGGTGTATTTAGAAAAAGATTAATTTTAGACCTATTCCAGTGAGGGTAATATTATTTCTCAAATTATAGGAAGAACTTACTTGAAGTTAATTGTAAGTTTTTTTTATATCACTTAATGGTGAACATACTCTGAGTTTATCATGGACGCTGCAGAACTTTATGTTATGAAGCTTTGTTTTTAGGTATGTTAAAAATGGGGAAATTGGATAAAAGTCATTTCCCAAATGATTCTAATAATTCCAGTCATTACTTAATTGAAATTATTGTTAATGTGTTTGGCATATTTTTCTTCGGAAATAGTTTGCTGGAAGTAACCTTACAAATGTTTGCATTAGGGGCACCTGGGTGGCTCAGTCCATTAAGTATCTAACTCTTGATCTCAGCTCAGATCTTGATCTCAGGGCCATTGAGTTCAAGCCCCATGTTGGGCTCCACATGTTGTATATGTTTGCATTACTAAGTACTAGCTTGAGTAAATTTTAGGAAAAGCAGCATTTCTTCGTTTCAGTTTTACTGACAAAAGCAGAATTAAACATGTATGTATCACAAACATGAAGAAATAGGCTATGAAATGTAATTTTTCTTTTAGTAGATTTAGCTGTGTAAAGAGACAATGGCTTCAAATAAAAACATCTGTAGATAATATTCAAATCCCTTTGTCCTTGATTAGTTTTTTATTATTTATTTATTTTTTTACTTTCCATATCACAAGATTTTTCTTAAGGTCATGTTTTGAAGAGATTATGAGAAGATAAAGTTTTGTATGTATTTTCTTAGTTATGTCCATTTCTTTCTGATTACAAAATACAGGAAATATGTGTCAAACACCCAAAGGCAGAGGAATAAAATAAAGTATTTGAGCTGTGAAAATTATAGAAGAAAATGGAATAAGGAAGGGGGGCCATCTGGAGTCTTAAAGGAGAGGACAAAACTGAATGTAAGTGATGTTCTAGAGAGTGGCTTTCAGTTTGGGTACATGGTTGTCATTTTCAAGACATTTTGCCTTTTAAAAAGACATTGGAATGATAATTTTGTGGGCTGTAGAGAAGTATCATTGGTTTCAGGTTAAAAATAGTCCTAGTAACATAATAATACCTCACTGGAGGTGACATCTGTGTAATCCGCAATCTACATGAGAGCCAACAGTTCAACAGAAGAGCAGGCAAGATGGAAGTTAGGAGAACTGTGATAATATTGGCGTGCTTCTTACATAGTGGAATCATTCAGGCCCTCGCTTAGAGCGTATTTTTATTTTAGAAATAATTCCATATGCTCAGAACATATTAGAAACATCCTCAACTTCTGCAAAAGCTGTGTTTGGGGGATGTCATTAGATATAAGTGATAGTTCATATCCCAGTGGGAAAGGAAAGAGACAAACACCTAAAGTGCAAGCCTATGTCAAACAGTAAAATGGCCTGGGACCAGTTTGTATAATGACAGACACTCATTTTTCAGAGTATTCAACCCACATTTACTGAGAATCTAGTCCCTGCCTTGTGAACTTTACTGTTTTGCCTGTTTTCAGAGACTGGGATTCCTATAGTCACAGCCTCAGAACTGTTCTTAAGCTAATGAGGACTTACCATTGCATCCTTCTTGCTTTCTGAAGACGACACATAGGGATTCAGTCTGCATCCCTTTCCTTTCTGAAGTATACCACACAATTATACTTTGGGAGTTCTTTCCCTAAGATGGACTGTGGAGTGGGCTAGCTTAAAATTTTTCCTGCAGGGGATAAACACATAGATCCTTTTTGATTTAAGAGTTTTATTCCTAAAGATTATGGGGAAAGAAATGAGATAACCAAGATAACAAACATGGGAGAAATTACAAAGATTATTGCTCCTAAATTGTGACTACTTACCTAGATAAGTAACTATGTGTTCCACATAGCATAATAGATGAGGCAGCCTGGTGTAATAGGAATCACGTGACCTTTCTACTGGGTGACTTTGGGCAAATTACATCACCTCTTGGGATGCCAGTTTGTTCATCTATAAAGTGGGAGATTTGAATTAGGTGACCTATTTACCAGTTCTAAAGTTTACCATTGTGTAACCTAAGTATGACCCTGGGTCTTTGAAAAGGCTAAATTCTGTATAGTCCTTTTAAGGAGTCAGGTCAGTGTTTAATATACTTTAGAAATGTGGGTGTCAAAATGGGTCATAAAAATTTTCTTATAAACAGTAAGCTGCTTTTATCAGGAATGTCACATAGGTAGCACGCTTCCGTTCTTTGATGTTGGCTGAGAATTATAATGTCAGCCTTGGCTGGCAACTCAGTGACTATAATGCTTATGGTGGTGGTACAACATCACTTCTCTAAATGTTGGGGGAATAGTATTGGTGCAGGAGGTTTTGTGAAAACACATTTACCAAATACCCCATAATGTGACTTCCCACATATATATCTTACTCTTCTCCCAGGATACCTGTATATATTTCTAACATGACAGGGTGCCCATACTTCCTCTGTGTTTCCAAACATACATACACCTATCATCTGTCCAGAGCTGAGTTGTGATTTTTTTTGATGTGGTAATTGCAAGATGTCACCATTTGTGGGTCATGAAATCAATTCTAGCATTTCAAAAAAAGGTAGAGAAGAATATATCAGAATATATTACATGTAGTAAGGATGAATATAGTTTAATGAAACAAATATTTGTGTATAACAGGTCACTGTAAAATACATACATGTATATACATACACATATTTTTGGAGGATTGTTGGGGCAAAAACTCTTTAAAGTCTAGAGAATATTAACTGAATAACAATGAATAGTAATGAAAATAGTATTTCAAAAGTCCTTTAGTTTTACAAATGCTATACCATTCATATATTTTATTTACTTTGACCCATATGTATCTCATTTGAGCAGTGTAGTGATAATGTAGTGATTGACAATATGATTCTGAAATGAGACAGATTGGGTTTGAATCAGCCGTGTCTCTTGTGCCACCTTACACATGTCTCTTAATGTCTAAGTTGCAATTTTTCATCTCTACATGAGAATAAACCTCACAGAGCTGTGTTGAGAATTCAGTGAAATATTTCCTGTAAAATGTTTAGTAAGTGCTCAGAAAATGTAGTTGATTTTTTTTTGCCCCATGATGCCATTCCCAGGTGCTTTTATCATCACTGTTTCTACTTGAATGCATCCCAGGAAGGGCTTTCCATGGAAAGCAACAGAAGGATTGGTCATATATCTGAGTCCTTTTCCTCCTCTTCCCATTGGGTGGTTGATAGTAAAGACCTTTGTGTGTCTATTACCACTATTTCTAACAGATTTCTTAATCTTGCGGGTTTACAGGTTTTCTATTTTTCTTTTTTCTTTTTGGTTCATCACCTTGAATTATTTGTCATTTTGTTTTGTCTAAAGGTTTTGAACAGATTTATCTTATTTGGGGCATAGTATGAAACTCTTCTTTGTCAGTGTAAGAATGCTGAAGGAGCTAAAGAAAGCCCCCAGATTTAACTGAATAACAATGAATAGTAATGAAAATAGTATTTCAAAAGTGAAATGCTTTGCAAGCCTTCAGGCATTTATTGATGGAAAAGTATGTCTTTTCTGCTCTCAGAACCTAGGAAAGTAAAGGGAGTCATCTAACTCTGGAGAAGACTTGTTGGGAGAGGCTTATCCTTCCCTTAAAAGTTTGAGCCAGTTCCTCAGAGCTGCATCTGTTACTAGAGTTCCCTCTGCAGCATCATTTTCATCTCCCATGGCTCATGTCATTTTCTCATTTTCTCTAGTGTTCTCATGATGTTTTGGATAACTCAAGCTACAGCAATTAAAATCAAATATGGCTGCTCATCATCACATTCTGATGTTTAACATAGAATCCCAATGCACAGAAATAATTATAGTTCTGTATAATTTACCTGTAGCTCATGCTAAATCACCTGCTATTCAGTTTCAATGCAGAGTCTTTTAACTGAAATGTTAGTTTGTGCCTGATATGTATATGAATGGTTTTAAAAGTAAAATAGAATAAAAGTCTCTAAAAGTTTGTGTTGACATGCATATTAAAAATTATGTATCAGTGTGTGTTGTGTGTGTGTGTGTGTGTGTGTGTGTGTCTGTGTGTATATAAAATGCTAGAGAGATTGGAAACATTTTGAGGATATTTAGTTGTAGCCAAGAAAATAGGGATACTTAGAAAGATTGATTCATTGTCTTTTTGCTTTTTAAATAATCTTATTAAAGGGCATTTTAAAAAGAAATGGTAATTTATCACAGATAGTGATTTTCCAAAGCGTGATTATGAGAGCCATCATGTTATCATACTGAGGCTATTTAAAAAAAAAAAAAAAAAAGTAGTTTGGAAATAAGAGACCAGGGGCAAAAGAGAGACAGACAGAGAGACCAGGAGCAGCTTGGCCAGTATGGTGCTCAGTGTAAGTATTTTATCTCATATTGGATTTTTACCAAAGAGTTTAAATCCTGTTACTTGACTGATTTGGTTTATATCACATATCTTTTTTGTCCAGCCTAGTGTTACACATTGGGTTATAAAGACTATTAATTAATGGAGTTTTAATCATTTTGTTTTGCTTTGAAATGTTTTGGTCATATATCTGTGATCCAGATTT